AAGTTCAACGGTTTATTAAAATGTTTCTGTACAGAGAATAAACAGATCCAGGGGGTTAATCAGAGCCGGGACTGGTCACGAGCGGGTTCATTGCAGAGGGGGACAGAGATGTTAGCAGATGCCCAGAATAATTGGCAGGATGTGAGTAAGCAGGACTGTAGCTGTTCTGGGGTCAGCGCTTAGCGGCTGAGGGGGGGCGACTTTGAGGGTCCAGAGGCTGTCGGTAGGCTGAGAGCTTGGCGGAGGCAGAGCTTGGTTTGAGTGTTTGCAGATTTCAGGTTTGAGTTTCCCTTCTAGATTCTTCAGAGAGCGGGCAGGCAGGTCTTAGGCAGGCAAGGTTCTCCAGGATTCTTCAGAGATCAGACAGGCAGATTTCCAACGGAGAAACTCTTCAGGGTTTTCAGGTTTTCAGGCAGCTTAAACCTAGGAAGCAGAGAGGAGAAAACGGATCAGGTTCAGGTTTCAAGGGAGTCAGAGATTCAGACAGGCAGGTCGGCTCAGGCTTGCTAACCATAACTGGCAAACACTCTGGCACTGGAGAGAAGTCCTCTGCCTCCTTAAGTACTGATCCCCTGATGAGCAGATGAGCGACAGGTGGTAGCAATCAGCTCCAGCTCAAGGAGATCTAGTAAAGTGAAAAACAAAATGGAGAGGACTCCCAACTCTCACTAAGCTCAACTACTTGGGAAAACTCAGCTAAAAATATATTGGAAATAGAAATGTGGACCAGAGCCTGCATTTTTAAATTTTTTTATCTCACATGATCTCCATATACAGTGTTTTCACTCAAAATCTGACGTTACATGGCCCCATTCATTCTTTCCTTCACACGGATCAGTCGTCCTGGTCCCTTAGCAGAAAAACAGCCCCAAAGCATGATGTTTCCACCCCCATGCTTAACTGTAGATATGGTGTTCTTTGGATGCAACTCAGCATTCTCTCTCCTCCAAACACGACGAGTAGAGTTTTTACCAAAAAGTTCTATTTTGGTTTCATCTGACCATATGATATTCTCCCAGTCATCGTCTGGATCATCCAAATGCTCTCTAGCAAACTTGAGACGGGCCTTGACATGTACTGGCTTAAGCAGGGGGACACGTCTGGCACTGCAGGATTTGAGTCCCTGGCGGCGTAGTGTGTTACTGATGTTAGCCTTTGTTACTTTGGTCCCAGCTCTCTGCAGGTCATTCACTAGGTCCCCCCGTGTGGTTCTGGGATTTTTACTCACCGTTCTTGTGATCATTTTGACCCCACGGGGTGAGATCTTGCGTGGAGCCCCAGATCGAGGAAGATTATCAGTGGTCTTGTATGTTTTCCATTTTCTAATAATTGATCCCGCAGTTGATTTCTTCACACCAAGCTGTTTACCTATTGCAGATTCAGACTTCCCAGCTTGGTGCAGGTCTATAATTTTGTTTTGGGTGTCCTTTGACAGCTCTCTAGTTTTGGCCATGGTGGAGTTTAGAGTGTGACTGTTTGAGGTTGTGGACAGGTGTCTTTTATGCTGATAACGGGTTCAAACAGGTGCCATTAATGAAGGTAACGAGTGGAGGACAGAGGAGCCTCTTACAGAAGAAGTTACAGGTCTGTGAGAGCCAGAAATCTTGCTTGTTTGTAACTGACCAAATACTTATTTTCCACCATATTTTGCAAATAAATTCTTTAAAAATCAGACAATGTGATTTTCTGGATTTTTGTTTCTCATTTTGTCTCTCATAGTTGAGGTATATCTATGATGAAAATTCCCGGCCTCTCTCATCTTTTTAAGTGGGAGAACTTGCACTATTGGTGGCTGACTAAATACTTTTTTGCCCCACTGTACCTTCATTATTCATCAAGGCAACTTACGACCAAATGTAAATATTATTCATATTAGAGAAAAATTAGCTAACACTTAAATCCAGCTACCTGTATCATGCTATAACCCAAGACTTTGCACATCATATGAGATGCAAGTTAGAGGAATATCTATCTAGGGTTGTCTCTGCCTACAATAATTATCATAGGTTTATTAAAAATGTCCAGCCAAGTCTTTTCTTTACTAATTTTTGATTAGTATTTTGATTAGTATTAGAACCTTAAAAAATCAATTAATCTCAGAAACTGAAAAAAAAGAACCTTTGTTTGCTTCTGATGGAAGAAAAAAACTTCATAAATCTCCTCAACCTGCATTTGCACTTACACATAGGCCTGTCTGTGATCTTTATTCAACTTTACAGTGTGAGGTGCAGGTACAAAAGAATCAGACTTAAGATCCTAATTCTGCAGTAATGAATCATCATCATTTAATATTCAATATGTGCCTTTTTTTTCAGTGATCTCTTTAATTCATTAAAATGTTTGTTATAACCTGTGGCACAATCTAATGCATCTTTTGCTATTCTCGAAAGCTCTTTCCACTTCTTCTTTGGAAAAAAATCGCCCTTCTGGTATGTTTGCAAAATCTATATTTGTTAGAGATGCCAGAAAAAACTAACTACAAGTCATTGGAGGAACATGCAATTCAAAACTCCTCACCATGTCTGGAGGGAAGTAGTGTGTACATATCTGCTGTGTTCTCCAGCCAGGTTATTTAGCTGTTTTCTCACATTCACTACAGACCAGATTTCCCAGACATGATCCAGAGGGACTGCATGTCAGAAAGACAACTTTCACTACAGACTGCTAATAAAGTTTGCCGAGCCAGCTTCCTTCCATGTTACTGGAAATAAATCAATAGCAGTTGTGTAGATAACGAAGTTAACATTGGAAGATTTTGGGGTGAGGTTGGTTTATATGCATGTGTGAGTGTGTACTGTATGTGTTGGCGCTGATTAAAGCCTCTATTATAATGGCTTTTTTAACTTAAGAGTTTGTTACTCCTTGATGATTGCCTGACATAATAAAAAAAGCTTACCATCGTATCAGAGTTTGAAATCATATTTAATGTTGGAAAACTAATCTTAAAATGTTTTATTCTGCTAGCAATCTAAGTATTTTCTTTGGCTTTGCCTTAATTTTCATTATTTTCAAACACCACATTGCTTATCTTGGTTTTATTTTTGTTTGTTTTTTTAATTTACAGTTTTAATTTCCTGATCAGTTTTTTGTTTGTTTTACTTTGATACCCTGCTGTAATTGGCTTAGGTCCTGATCACAGTTCTTTCTTTCCTAAAAGTTTGCAGAAGCTGAATCTACATGAGAAAATGTTTAAATATATATACCTGAAGATGGACATCATATACACCCAAATTTGATGATTTGTGGTGGTAAATAAATAGTTTTGACAAAGTAGTGTATATAAACTAATCATTAGATTAAAAAAATGTGAGTCTATGCATAATCACATCAAATCAAATGATTTACATATTTATTCATTTCCCCTTTTTGAAGAAGCTACATTTAACAGGAACCTGCTAATGATGCATTGATTTAATTTTTTTGTTTAAGCAATTAATTATATACAACATGTACCATTGTTTCCCTACCCCAACAATACAACACCAACTTCCAACATGAAAATAATGCGGTAAAAATAATATATCACCTAACTATTTAACATGTTTATTTCTAATAATGCCCAAAAATGCATTATGTCATCTTAATATTTATTTATAGGTTTTCATATGTTTTTTGGCTTTCAAATATGACTATGGAGCATAGCTTAGTAACATCACAGCTAAGTTTCACATATTTGTGTTTAGTTTCTTACACAGATGCTTGTTGGCATTGTTTGCTTTTACTTGTCAAACATAATCTAACCATTTTAAAAGAGTGCATCAAGAAATCAACTACTCTTGTCCTCCTAATCTATGCTGACTCTGCAGAAGTCTAGGCTTTATGTAAATATTTTTTTATTGCTGCCTGATAAGGTGGTAGGGTGATATCTTTAGTCTTATTGTATTTATATTCAACATTAAAATGTTAATTTGGCTCTTAAGAGTGTTGATACAGCGCAAAGCTGGCAAGGTCAGGGGAGAACCTTTTCTCTTGGTTAGACGCATAATATAATGAGACAGTTAATTAATTTAATAATATAAAACAATATTCATTATATAAAACAATATTCCGTTTTTGATCTTTCCACGTTCAACAACCCAGAACACGACTGACGTTTGCTTTGAATGTTTAACTTCTAGTTCAATAACTTTGCTGTTAAAGGTCACTGAATAAATTCATGACATGATTAAAATATCACACATGCATGTAAAAATATTATCTTAGCTTTTTTAATATCTTATGCACTCTTATTCAGATGAAATAACTTCTAATGCATACAATATCTCTGTAATTTGATAAGGTAAGCCAAACACAAGAGAAAAATCTGTTATTCTGATTGCACTTACATCAAATATTTCCGCCAGAAGGAGCATAAAACAAATGCAAGAATAAGAGTTTCTCTCCTCATTGTTTTATATTGCAGTTTTATAGTGATTTAGTGCTTAGTCACTTTACACTCTGAAAAATGAAGGCATTTACTGTTGCATAATTTTGTAAAAGCATTTAAGAAATGCAAATGTTGGTCTCTTTTGATCTAGCACTAACATTTTGTTTTTAGAAGTTGCTGCAAATTACAAACTTTCTTTATTTTCAAGTAGAAGCTAGACATGGGCTGCAGCTTTGAGATTCTTACCAGGCCATAACCCTGAATAAAAATATCAGTCCTAACAAAATGTGCAATGAAGCTTCAGGCTTTTGTTAAAGAAAGAAGGTCACGGCTAATCCTAAGTGCGTAAAACAGGGTGTGTTCGTGATAAAGGGGAAACAATTCTGGTTTCTGCTGCACTTTATCTGGCATCTGATTGAAATAAATAAATACATTTTAACCTTAGACATAGTCTAAAAATGATTTTTGCTGTTTTGAGGCCACACCATTTTGAACTTTGGTAAGCTTGTAATATTTCAAGTACAAACAGTGTTATCACCAAATGCAATGTATTTTTTTAGCAATGCAATGTATTTTTTTAGTTTTACCATTGTAGACTGTTTTTTAATTTTGCTATATGTCACTCACCTTTTAGCTGCCATCCTTGATGATCCTATGGAGTGCAGCAGAGGAGAGCGTTTAGCCATTACGCTGGCCAAAAATAACATCAACAGGAGCAGCAACCGCTCCACCACGAGCAAGCTGGAGGTGGACATCTTCGAATTGCTGAGAGACAGTGAATATGAGATGGGAGAGACAAGTAAGTGTCTTACCAAAGCCGGTATTAAGGAATAAATCTGTACACTAAAGAAAAAAACATGTCTTCATTGTTTTTTTGTTGTTGTTGTTTTTTTTTTAAGTCTTTCTTGGTAATACAATGCTGTGGAAAGTATTTGTCCCCTTAAATATATCCTGTGGCCGTTTTTGCTTCTTTCTTTTTTTTTGTCAAACTTTAATGTTTGTAATTCTTAAAAAAGATATTAGGGAGAGCCTTCCAGGTCACGCCAAAGATACCTGCATAACTGTGGTGCACTCTGTTGATAGATCTAAAAAAAAATAAAAAAAATAACATTTTTATCACGATGAAAACTACAGGACATAAAGGGTGGAAAAAAATATGGACACAGAGCTCAACTTTGAAGAAGCACAGTGTAGTGGGACCTGTCACCCGGATCACAAGGGTCTGCAGCAAGATGAACTCAAGCAAACTAGCTTTGATAGGATATTCAAAGAACTTAACGATTTTATTTGTGATAACAAGATACAACTTTTGGACATTCAACAAATTTTGCACAAAACAAACAACTGACTGGAACAAGCTGAATGGAGTATTGATGAAGTAGAAACAACCATGCAGCCTGCCTTTACTCTACTGGAATGGTTGGTGCAACAACAGAATGCAATGTTACCAAAGCTTACTGAAAATTAGGCTTGTAGACAAAGAGATATAGCATGATCTCCTTTTTTTTCTCCAAATAATATGAGAATCTTCAATAAATGAAGATTAAAAGGGCCAAGAGAGTGTAGGGACCCAAGCCTTCTGTCCCATTTAAGCCTTACTCCATCATAGCTTTAGAAATAAGGAGGAGTTTATAAAGAGAGGACAAAAGAAGTGTGTTTTTATAACCACTAACTATTCTACAAACGTAAATCATATTTGCTCAACAGCTTTCCTTAAGACGTGTACAGAGTACAACCAACTGACGAAGGTGCTCAAAAAGTGGAAAATTAAGTTCCAAACCCCTTGTCCGGTAAATAATAAAGTATTTTATGAAATAAGGACAGCAGACATGTAATCATGCTGACTTCGAATCATGGATACCTCAACTCTTTTTTAGGACTAGAGAAGAGAACGCTGCAGCGAAAATGAACGCACACGCTTCCATGCAAGTGAGAATAACTAAAAAGCTACAAGAATTCAGACGAAAGACTTTGGCAAACACGTTATCAGTAGAACTTTAGCTCAAAGCTAAAGCTGTCTTTTATGTTTCATGTTCCCCTGATCAACATTTTTTCAGACATTTGTTAATGGTTACTGATACAGTGAACCCTGCTTGCTAGGGATTAACCTTGATTGGTGCTCTACAACATGAGCCCATAAAAGGTTCAGTAGGGCTGTACACCTCCCTAATAGTGTTACATTTGTTAAAATGTTGTACTCAAAGCCCTTAATAAGGTCTTTTTTTGTTGTTGTTTTTTTTTATAGTAAAAGGATGCAACATATTTTTGCAACATTGCACTGAGACACAAATTTGTTGTGTCCTTGGGCAAGCCATTTCAATTCATTACCATAACTACCATATTTTTTTAATTGATATTATTCTTAAATTGTGATAAACTAAAAATAAATGACATTGAAAATGACTGAAGTTGATCTAAGTCTCCCAAAAAACGGAGCTGTTTTTGAAGCTATTTGAAGACCCAAGATTAGTTTGACTGTTTAATAAAACAGTAGCTCAAGGGTTTGGGCAAAGGGTACATGAAGCGCATAAATGTCAACACCCACTGTCTCTATGGTAACTGCCACACACAGGCTCCAGATGCTGTTTGTGAGTCCATCAATGATGGCAGTCACTGGAAGAGGAGCACACCAAGTTAGGAACGCAGGTTGAGATCAGTTTAAGTTGTTGATGAAAGTGAGAAACCTGCATTTCAGCCCAGCAATCTACTCAGTCATCAAAGTAACATAGAACCAAAGTTTATTTTAACTCTGTCATTACGGGTCGTCAGTCCTTTTCCATTGGTTGAATTTACATTCACTATGCGATTGATGTATTAGCGACCTCTTCAACTGAAAAAGAAGTGGGTTTTTTTTAGCGTTGATTTCTCAGATGTTAGATGTTGAACCTGTCTTTTTATTTCTGCCAGATGCCGGAGCTCAATACACCAAAACGGCACAGATTGCATGGGACAGGAAGTCATGTGCAAAATCAAAATACCAAAACAATTTTCATAATAATAATAACAATAAATTATTTATCTTTTTCTTTGCTCTAATTTTAAGGTTCACAACAATGGAATAAATGGTCTTTCTTTCTTTCTTTCTCTTTCTTTCTTTCTTTCTTTCTTTCTTTCTTTCTTTCTTTCTTTCTTTCTTTCTTTCTTTCTTTCTTTCTTGTAGCATGATTCAGGAGGTCAATTCGGTTGGTTAGTCTGAATGCAAAAAGGCCTTTGACTCTGTGAGTGTTGAGCTTTTTAATATAAAGTAGAAGAGCGACTTGGCTTTCCATGTAATTTCAAAGAAAAAAATATTGGAGTATTATATACATACTCAACCACCTCAATAAAAGTAAATGGACCCCTAACAAATTAAACTGAACTGGAGCGTGGAACTAGGCAAGGTCTCTAGGGGAGTGTTGGCCTTCTGTGAAGCATTGCCTTTGAATCAATGAGTCGATGCAATCCACTGGTTTTCCTCTGAATCCATTTAACTGAATGATCTGGTGAATTGTAAAGTGCCCTGAGATGATGTGTTGTGAATTGGCACTATATAAATAAACTAAATTGTTGTTGGGGAGTCTTAGTCTAGTGGTTAGAGCAGTGCGCTTGTGCTCTGAGAAGGTTGCAAGTACCTGGTTCAGTGCACACAGTCAGCACTCTGGGTCCCAGAGTAAGACCCCTAACCCCACACTGCTCCCCTGGCACCACACAATGGTAGCCCACTGTTCCCCAAGGAGATGGGTTAAATGCAGAGGTGAATTTCTCCAATGTGAGATCAATAAAGTTAAATTATTTATAACTTTGTGCAACTTCTGACTAAAGCTGTGTTGGTTGTTGAATATTAGTTAATTAGTTTTGTGTGTTACTGTAGAAAATGCAGTACTTTATGGGTGGGTAATGAGGTACGTTTTATGTTTACCAGGTTTGGTACACTATGCTTCATTATTACATGTAGTCTGATAGATTTAGACCCAATTTTTGACGATCTGTTCCCAACTGAAGCTGTATCTAAGTTTAGTTTTTATGATTGAGAAAATCATGCTGTGGGTACACTCTTATTATGGTAGTCTGGGTATCATGTTGCGCAGCAAAAGCAGCTGCCATGGTAACTGCCTGTTGTATATTATCTATGCCGCTAACCTGATGGACATCACCTCAGTGCATCACAACAGCTGAGCTAATGAACTGAACATCATCAAAGGCTTTACTTCAGTTTACTGATTCTTTCATGTCTTCTTTGTGTGTTCCAGTAGCTTATAGTGTTTGCATAGTTTATTGAACATAATAATAATAATAGAGATAGAGATTATTAGATTCAATATAGCATCAATTTTTTAATTTTTTTATTGTGGTAGTCTGTGATTATTTATATAGAAGTGACGGGTTGTCTAAAAGAGTAGAGCCTACTTCCTTTGAGTTAACAACTTGAATAGACAGAGAAAAATATTTTCCTTTTGGTTAATTATTGATAACTCTGCTTGAGTTATAAACCACGTTATTGACATTTACTCATGGTTAAGACTTCTAAGATTATTCTAAGATTTCAACAGCCCATCCAAAACGTCCAGCCACAAAGGTAATCATTTGACTAAAGATCCTTACTTGGTTAACCCTTGGTTTTAATGCAATGTTAACTTCCAGTTCTAGTTAATAATATATTCATAATCTACTTGTAATATTGCACAACACCCGGATTTATAGCCGCATCCCCACCTGTTCAACCTTTCTTCAGTTTTCAGCTTCTAGCCTATTTGTAGAATAAAAAAAATTAATTTAAAGAAATCGATTTCTTTGTCACAAATATTTTCTGCATATTCTTCTCACTGTAGATGTTTCAGTTGAGTGAGGAAAAGTGAAGGTAATAAATGATTATGGTTGTGATGTTTAATTGGCTCAAAAGGGACTTAATGTTTCACTCGTATATGATTAAAAAACAAACTGCAATGCAAGAGGAGAAAGCAGAAATATTATGCAAGTAGTTTTGCACCAACAATTGTGCATATATTTCTGCACAAGATAACTGTGTTTTACCTGTTCTGGGGAATACTTACGAAATACAACAGTTTCCAAGAGGATTCAAAAAAGGGAAACAAATAAAATACAATGAATAAAATTCAAAGTTTTGTAATACAGTGTAATACAGAAATAGGTATCATTCTAGATTAGTAAGAATTAGGCTATATACATACATCTATATATCAAGTTACTGCAATGCAACTCTCTGGTAAATAAACTAACCTGCTGTCTTTCAGCACATTGTCCTCATTATTGAGAGACTGATTGCTAAAAAATATTCAACAATTCAACCCTGATCATTTTAGATAAAGATGCGGTCATGATGCAGCTTTCAGACACCAAAAGGATAAAGCTGTGATAAACTTGTTTTGTGTTTAAAAACAGTAATGCTACAAAATACTAACATGTTAAAGGTCATACCAAGCAGTCCGTGGGGGGTTCACCGCTCTGCATTTCAAATGCACAGTGTTTACACCCCAGACTGAGTCACCAAATGGGACAAGCTCCAGCTGCGTGAAGCTCACAGGCCACTCACCTGAAAAAAACTCTGCAAATTGACTTAGTGCTTCATTAGTGCAGGTTTGTGCAGTTAAAATGGTCATTTGTAAAAAAAAAAAGAAAAAACAGCCATGTTTGCTACTTTTGTTTGAGAGATATTAAAGATTATGTTTTAGGTCAACAGAATTGAATTAAAGTCATCCACTTTTTCAGTGCTTCTTGATTTGTGTCTGTAAAACTGTCATTTGGGCTGATTTGGTTTTTACGGTAGAATCATTTTTAATGTCGTTGTCATCCCAGTAGACA